CAGGGGGTTGTTGTGGCCAAAGTGCAGGACCCGGCACTTGGCCTTGTTGAACTTCATCCCATTGGAGTCAGCCCATCTCTCCAGTCTATCCAGATCCCTCTGCAGAGCCCTCCTGCCTTCCGGCAGGTCGACACTCCCTCCCAACTTGGTGTCATCTGCAAATTTGCTGATGATGGACTCAATCCCCTCCTCAAAATCATCGATAAAGATGTTAAACAGGACTGGGCCCAGCACTGATCCCTGGGGGACACCACTGGTGACCGGCTGCCAGGTGGATGCAGCCCCGTTCACCAGCACTCTCTGGGCCCGGCCCTCCAGCCAGTTCCTGACCCAGCACAGAGTGCCCCTGTGCAAGCCATCGGCTGCCAGCTTTTCCAGGAGTATGGGAGGGAGGTGGAAAGGTTTGGACCAGGTCAGTTCTGGAGGTCGGGACTAAAGCCTGGTCCAGTCCTGATCTGAAGAGATGCCAAAGCATTTCTGCCTAAGCCAAAGCACTTGCTTCATATCTGTCTTGAGGATGAAGAAGAGCACTCGTGCCCTAGGAAAGAAAAATACAAGGTCAGAAAGAAACTGAATTCAAGTTCTTGCACTCACCATGAACTTCATAAGCCATGTAGGTGGTGACTCCGCTGCACATAGAGAAGATGTCTGCTCCATAAGACTGGAGGTTGCTGACCAATCCCTTGGTCACAAAGGTGATCTTCTTTGTAGGTCTTCCAAGACCGACCTGGTTCTAGACATCAAACGCAGCATTCAGCAAGATGGGTGCCGGGACATGTTTCATGGCGGGCACATGGGGAGTTGTGCAGTGACGAGCGGGTGCTTGGGGTGGGAGTGGCAGCTGCCTTTAGTGGTGCCTTTGCCATGGCACAGATCCCTCTCCCTCCCCAAAGGAAAAGGCAGTGTGGGCCACGGCAGCTGCAAGGCAAAGGTGTGAGCTGACGAAGGCAGGTTGGTGTTGCAGTGACTCTGAAGGCCTTGGAAGGATTGCCACGCCAAAAGCATTGGTGGCGTTGAAGGGCTACTGAGAGAAAGGGTTTCTCAGCAAGCCGCAGAGCTCAGGTTGCTGAGAGAAAGCACAGCTGGCGAAGGGAAGGAGGCCCCCCCTCCTTTTTTGGGACAAAGCATCCCTAGGGGAAATTCCCAAGCCGCACTGCAGTTGAGGGCAAGACAGTCGTGCCCCGAGTGACAAGGTGGTGCTCTCCAGCAGGAAAAAGACCAGTTAAGAAAGGGGCCCACGGGCTCCAAGGTCAAGAAAGTGCAGCTCTTTTGGACTCTTACCCTGCTCTCTCTGGCCAGTCTGGCCAGATTGTTAAAGCTGGGCATCTCGTTTTTGTTCATGACGGAAATGTAGCAGGTGTTCTGTTGTGTCACTTTGGTTGCAATGACGCCCTGTAAAGAGAAAGGTATTGAGCACTGGTGAATCACTTTTCTTACTTGGAAAACCTGGGAGAAAATCTGGATTGTAACCAGCAAGGAATATCAATAGTTCCACCTGCAAATCCTGGACTGGAATGGTTGAGAAGAAATCAAGAAGCCCCGTGCCTTGTTCAACCGGAGCTCCTGTCACAGTGCCCGGACAAGCCCGCTCCCTGCCACTCACCGTGTTGTAGTTCCAGATGGTTTTCCAGGAGCCAGTGGGGGTTGTTTGGGTGATAACTGCCACACGCCATTGCTTGTGGATGGTCAGAATTTGGGACTGGCCACCAATGATGACTTCCTGGTTGTCACCCTGACCCTGATCCTGGGGAGGCTAAAACGGCAACAGAAAGAAGGAAGCCTTTAGCCTTTGAAGGAAGTGGGTGACCTGCCCAGATCCCTGGGAGAAGAGAAGAAGTGCTGCCCGCATGGAGTGCCAGCAGCGCCCTCAGGATCTCCTCAAGGACAAAGGATCAAACCCTGTTGTGTTTCAGCGTCTCCATCCTCGAGAACGAAGCTCTCCCAAGAGGAGATGGCGGGGAAGAAGGGCATGGGGGTTGGCTTTGGGCAGCCGTGGCACTGGGTAGGAGAAGGGTAAGGGTTTCCCACCTGGTCAATCTGGCCATTGCCATTGCAGTAGTTGAGCTGCAGAACATTCAGGACATTGAGGGTGACGCATGGTCCCAGATTGAGTTGGGGTCCTGGAAAAGCAAGCAAAGAGAAAGCCAAAGGCCATGAGGTGAGGCCTGCGCCCTTGGGTGCCGCTGCCCAGGAGAGGGTGGTTCATCCGTCTTGAGTTGCTTGAAGAGCACAGGTGCAGTAGTCATTGGCCAAGGGGAAAAAAGGGCCAGGTCAGAGAGACACAGAATTCAAGTTCTTGCACTCACCATGAACTTCATGAGCCATGTAGGTGGTGACTCCGCTGCACATAGAGAAGATGTCTGCTCCATAAGACTGGAGGTTGCTGACCAATCCCTTGGTCACAAAGGTGATCTTCCTTGTAAATCTTCCAAGACCGACCTGGTTCTAGAGATCAAACGACAGCATTCAGCAAGATGGGTGCCGGGACGCGTTTCATGGCGGGCACATGGGGAGTTGTGCAGTGACGAGCGGGTGCTTGGGGTGTGAGTGGCAGCTGCCTTTAGTGGTGCCTTTGAATCCCCTGGGGCCCGAGGGAGCACTAGGCAGCCTTGAAGACAGCTCCAAAGGCAGCCCTTGGGAAGGCAGTGGAGGTGCAGGGAGCCTAAGGAGAAGTGGCAGTGCAAGGCAAGCGCAGAGCAGGAGCCGAGGAGTGCAGCCGGTGTGTTAAGCCAGACGTGCCAGCAAAGCATTTGCTCCATCCCTGTGCTCTCCCCTCCCAGAGCTGCTCAGGTATGGGTCCTGGCAGGAGAAGTCTCCTCTTCCTGCCTTCTCAAGTGGATGCAAAGAGGGCAGGAGTACCAGTGCTGAGGTCCTTTTCCACTGAGACTCTTTGCTGGTTCTGCTTAGAACCTGTCTGAGAACTCTGGGGGCTTTAGCAGGACAGGTCTTTATGATGGGCTACAGAGGGTTTTCGTTCCCATGAGCTTCCACTCTACTCTCGTACTCGGAGGCTTTGTCACCTGCAGCAAGGCCTTGAATGTCCGTCTTTTCTGCTATGACCTGGGCTTCCAGCTGATCTCCAGCTCCCTCCTCAGCTACGGCCACAGATCTCCAGTTGTGGTTTAAGCCACTGTTGTGGGGGAAAGGCTGTGCGGCACAGAGCGACTCTGTCCCACCCAAAGCAGAAGGCAGTGTGGGCCACGGCAGCTGCAAGGCAAAGGTGTGAGCTGACGAAGGCAGGTTGGTGTTGCAATGACTCTGAAGGCCTTGGAAGGATTGCCACGCCAAAAGCATTGGTGGCGTTGAAGGGCTACTGAGAGAAAGGGTTTCTCAGCAAGCCGCAGAGCTCAGGTTGCTGAGAGAAAGCACAGCTGGCAGAGGGAAGGAGGCCCCCCCTCCTTTTTTGGGACAAAGCATCCCTAGGGGAAATTCCCAAGCCGCACTGCAGTTGAGGGCAAGACAGTCGTGCCCCGAGTGACAAGGTGGTGCTCTCCAGCAGGAAAAAGACCAGTTAAGAAAAGGCCCCACAGGCTCCAAGGTCAAGAAAGTGCAGCTCTTTTGGACTCTTACCCTGCTCTCTCTGGCCAGTCTGGCCAGATTGTTAAAGCTGGGCATCTCGTTTTTGTTCATGATGGAAATGTAGCAGGTGTTCTGTTGCGTCACTTTGGTTGCAATGATGCCCTGTGAAGAGAAAGGTATTGAGCGCTGGCCATTCTGTTTTGCAACTTGGAAAACCTGGGAGAAAGGGTGGATTGAAACTAGCAAAGAATACCAATAGTTCTTCCTGTAAATCCTGGACTGGAAAGGTTGAGAAGAAAGCAAGAAGCCCCGTGCCTTGTTCAGCTGGAGCAGGAGGCAGTCTCCTGGCCCAGGGCCCGCACAAGCCCACTCCCTGCCACTCACCGTGTTGTAGTTCCAGATGGTTTTCCAGGAGCCAGTGGAGGTTGTTTGGGTGATAACTGCCACACGCCATTGCTTGTGGATGGTCAGAATTTGGGACTGGCCACCAATGATGACTTCCTGGTTGTCACCCTGACCCTGATCCTGGGAAGGCTAAAACGGCAAGAGAAAGAAGGAAGCCTTTAGCCTTTGAAGGAAGTGGGTGACCTGCCCAGATCCCTGGGAGAAGAGAAGAAGTGCTGCCCGCATGGAGTGCCAGCAGCGCCCTCAGGATCTCCTCAAGGACAAAGGATCAAGCCCTTCATTGTTTCAGCATCTCCGTCCTCGAGAAGGAATCTCTCCCAAGAGGAGATGGCGGGGAAGAAGGGCATGGGGGTTGGTTTTGGGCAGCCCTGGCGCTAGGTTGGAGAAGAGTAAGGGTTTCCCACCTGGTCAATCTGGCCATTGCCATTGCAGTAGTTGAGCTGCAGAACATTCAGGACATTGAGGGTGACGCATGGTCCCAGATTGATTTGGGGTCCTGGAAAAGCAAGCAAAGAGAAAGCCAAAGGCCATGAGGTGAGGCCTGCGCCCTTGGGTGCCGCTGCCCAGGAGAGGGTGGTTCATCCGTCTTGAGTTGGTTGAAGAGCACAGGTGCAGTAGTCATTGGCCAAGGGGAAAAAAGGGCCAGGTCAGAGAGACACAGAATTCAAGTTCTTGCACTCACCATGAACTTCATGAGCCATGTAGGTGGTGACTCCGCTGCACATAGAGAAGATGTCTGCTCCATAAGACTGGAGGTTGCTGACCAATCCCTTGGTCACAAAGGTGATCTTCTTTGTAGGTCTTCCAAGACCGACCTGGTTCTAGACATCAAATGACAGCATTCAGCAAGATGGGTGCCGGGACGCGTTTCATGGCGGGCACATGGGGAGTTGTGCAGTGACGAGCGGGTGCTTGGGGTGGGAGTGGCAGCTGCCTTTAGTGGTGCCTTTGCCATGGCACAGATCCCTCTCCCTCCCCAAAGGAAAAGAGAGTGTGGACAGTGGCAGTGCAAGTCAAAGGTGTGAGCTGACGAAGGCAGGTTGGTGTTGCAATGACTCTGAAGGCCTTGGAAGGATTGCCACACCAAAAGCATTGGTGGCCTTGAAGGGCTGCTGAGAGAAAGGGTTTCTCAGCAAGCCGCAGAGCTCAGGTTGCTGAGAGAAAGCACAGCTGGCAGAGGGAAGGAGGCCCCCCCTCCTTTCTTGGGACAAAGCATCCCTAGGGGAAATTCCCAAGCCGCACTGCAGTTGAGGGCAAGACAGTCGTGCCACGAGAGACAAGGTTGTGCTCTCCAGCAGGAAAAAGCCCAGTTAAGAAAGGGGCCCACGGGCTCCAAGGTCAAGAAAGTGCAGCTCTTTTGGAATCTTACCCTGCTCTCTCTGGCCAGTCTGGCCAGATTGTTAAAGCTGGGCATCTCGTTTTTGTTCATGACGGAAATGTAGCAGGTGTTCTGTTGTGTCACTTTGGTTGCAATGACGCCCTGTGAAGAGAAAGGTATTGAGCACTGGCCATTCTGTTTTGCAACTGGGAAAAGCTGGGAGAAAATCTGGACTGAAACGAGCAAGGAATACCAATAGTTCCTCCTGCAAATTCTGGACTGGAAAGGTTGAGAAGAAAGCAAGAAGCCCCGTGCCTTGTTCAGCTGGAGCTCCTGTCACAGTGCCCGGACAAGCCCACTCCCTGCCACTCACCGTGTTGTAGTTCCAGATGGTTTTCCAGGAGCCAGTGGGGGTTGTTTGGGTGATAACTGCCACACGCCATTGCTTGTGGATGGTCAGAATTTGGGACTGGCCACCAATGATGACTTCCTGGTTGTCACCCTGACCC